TTTAGATGTCTGTGTCGAAATACCTAGTGGAAAATGTTGTTACCAGATGCGACTTTTTGATTAAACATTGCACACACTTATCCACTTGAATCGAAGGAACAGTACGTTTATGCATCCTTTTTCTCTCGACGTAACGAAGATGCGTTTGAATGCTTCTCAATTCCAAGATATGTCCAAATGCGCTTGGACGATATATTAAAAAAAGTAGGCTTAAATATGTTTCATTAGTTTTTCAACAGTAGTTGACCATAAAATATCTTGAATTTTCAGTTGAAAAATGAGTGGCTGAACTCACGTTTAGACGTTCATCTCCATCCGAGAAAACGCATTCAGACGCATCAAAAGAAAAAGCTTTGGAAAGGAACAAAGTTCATATTTTGAAAAGCGTCTGGAATAAATAGAAAATTCTGCAAAACAGAAAATCACGTATAGACGTGCTAAAATAATGAGTCATCTCGACTACAGCAATTTTCTGAGCTTTTTTCTAATAATACTCACTTTCTTTCCACTAAACATAATTTAAAAGCTTTTCCGATATGTGAAAATGAGTATGTGAAAATGGTCACAAATTTTCAGAAATTAATGCATCTAGATGCGCTAAAATTTATAAAATTCTAATCGTTGAGTCTCTCTCTTTTAAACAAGTGTTAAATCCAGTTTAATCGAGTTTCTTTCATTGCCAATCGCAAACACCCTTTTATTCTGTATTAAGTGAGATACTCCCCTGTTATTGCGTTTTAAATCTCACAATCATTTTATATGTTGACCAATAGAAACTCGATCACATTACTGCAGTATTCAAATCGGGTAACGCAATGATAAAGTAAATTACTGTTCAATCAACGTTGCCTAAGGTATGTGAACGACTCGTGTATAGTCCCTGTATGATTATCTCATCAAAAATAAATGACTTCAACTAACATCAGTCTGGTTCTCGTCGTGGTGACAGTACTATAAATCAATTACATGAAATTATGCATTACATTAATGAAAGTGGATATGAGAGCGAATTCGTGAGAGGTATTTTTCGTGACATAAGTAAGGATTTTGACACAGTATGGCATCGTGGATTGCTTCTCAAACTCCTACAGTTTGAGAAGCAATCCACGATGCCATACTGTGTCAAAATCGTTACTTATGTCAAAAAAAATAGTAACGATGGTTCCCGGCTATGTGTCATCGATAAGGCACATCAATTTAGAGATCCGTGTTGGGATCCTGCTGTTCCTTACCTATATTAACCATATAGCTAATAATTTAGAAAACATGTGCAAGTTTAATGCTGCTTAATTTCAATGTTAAAAAATGCAGATCTATTCTATTCACCAAATCGAAAACATTTCATTCTTCCATTCTACCACCACTCATTCTTGCCAATAAGCCAATTGACGACGTAGAAGAACGTATACATGTTGGTCTATTGTTTTTACATGACATGTCGAGATTACAAGAAGTTTCACTAGGGTTCCCCTTCACTTTTGCTATTTGCGCTTGTTAAGACAACTTTTCCTTATCTATATTTGTTATAGTTACGTGAGCTAATTATGGTCAGGTCATCAATATCTTATCGTATTTCTGGCATAGTTTGCTCAATTTTGACCGGAAAAAGTGGTATTTAATCGTTAGGTGGATATGAATATTTCCTATCTATTGATATTGAATCTGTTCTTTTGATGAATGTATTTACTCCGATTCTTGTTCTCTTCTTTCTCTCTATGCATTTTGACTTATTTCGTTGGCCGATCGTTCTGGACTTAATTTACACTGTAATGTGTGTTAAACTCTCGATTGTGTTTATTATCTCACCTATTCTTGTCAATAAAGCTTATAACAAATCTCCTCCATATGTAATCGTATGATCCACCAGGAAACATTTTATAACTAAACTTCTTGAAAACTGTATAGGTTTTGAATGTTTTAATTCCAAAATCAAGAGAGAATGAACTGACACAGATCAAAATCAGAAGAGACTCAAACCTATCAAACTCACTAGCTCTACCGCCTAAGGTTCTAGACATTTTCCAATCGAATCCTTCTGTGTGTATTCTTTATATTACTAGATTTTGCGAGTCTAAAAGATTTCGCTACTGTATCACTCATCTCGGATCATTGGACCAAGCGAATCGGCTGATGAACGTTACTTCTTTTTAAAAACTGCCAATCAGAAGTACAAAAAGAAGAACAGCAACCAGTACTGGATTAATCCGGAATTTTTTACAAATATATTATAAACGGAGACCAAAATGCTAGAAGCCACCAGTTTTTTCACCAGTTTTACACTTCTTTTCAGTTCCAGTTGTGACAGTCTTAGGTATACGACGGATCGGACAAATGTCCGATGTTTAACTCAAGCATGTTCCGTTTGGACAGTATTTGATTCGGACACTGTTTGACTCAAACAGTGTTTTACTCTAACACTACCCGAGTCGGACATGTCCGAACCGAACATTCAAACACTGATCGACTTTTTTCAAATGCTATTTTCTCTCATTAATTTACAGCTTTTTTGTAGTCGTCTAAAATTGTGCGTGAATTGACGTGCTAAGCATTTTGTGCTCACTGTCACTATACAGTTTTATAGAGTCTAATTTACTACTTGTGTAACTAGAAGCAAGCTTGAATGTGTAAAAAAAAATAATCTTGTTTAATGTAAGAAATGAGTAAAATAGAAAGAAAAATAACAATCCTTCAGCCAATCAACAGTTCTACTCGAAAATCCCTTTCGGTTCTAATCTCATCCCTGTTCTAAACTTTACTGTTTCTCAGCATCTCTCACTCAAACTCTCCACGAAGAAATTTATGCACTAAACAGACACTTAACAGAAATGAAAAAAGTCGAACAGTGTTTGAATGTTCTGTTCGAACATGTTCGAATCGGTTAATATGCGAGTCAAACAGTGTCCGATTCGAACTTGCCCGAGTCGGTTGTTCGGTCCGTCGTATACCTAGTGACAATCATGCAGTTACAATTTTCAGCGGTTACAGTTATCGATAATTTTACAGTTTTATAACTACAGTTAACTAGCGAAAAACTGTAACTGATGCATACGTAATTGGCAGCAACCATAGGTAAAATGATCAAGCAGAAATTAATTTTCTCTGTTTGTATTTTGTCGTTACACGGCATGATTTGACAGTACTATAAGAAAAATGGGAGAGAGAGGAAGAAAAATCCAACTAAATCTGATATGTGGTTTACAAAATCCAACATATACACGTTCTTAACAAGCATGCTCGAAATGACAAGCTTTTTTGTACAGAACGATTTACAGAATTTGAATACAATACTAAAAGCTATCGGTAACCTCGAATATGAGCAAAAATATTTTGAGCAAAACAACTTTTAGCAAAAGAAAATGAGCAAAAAATTTTTAAGCAAATTTATTTTGAGCAAAAAATTAGTTAAGCAAAAGGACTTTGACCAAATCTGTTTTGAGCAGCTAGAAAATGAGCAGAATTGCTTTTAGCAAATTTTTATTTTTCAGCAAAAATATGAGCAAAAATGAAAAGTACATTAGAAAAACAGAAGAGAAAAAGCAGATTGGACAATTTTCAAATTGTTGTATATCATCCATCCTTTGATTTTTACTAAGGGCGAATGATATAGTTAGCAAAAAATCCATTTCAACTTTTAAATTGATTTAAGTTCAACTCATTAATCATTTCATATCAACTCATTAATACTACTGGGAAGGTTGAGTTTCTAGTTTTGTTTCAGCATCGTTTTCTTCCTTAAATGATATGTCATCTTTCACTAAATGATGATGCATCGAGCAATACGTATTAACGGCTAAGAAAAATGGCTACAGTTCTATTATAAAAATGCTACACATATAATCTGTTATTCACTTTTTTGCTCATCTTCCATTTTCTCATCAGTTTTTTTGCTAAAAGTAATTTTGCTCAAACTCCTGTTGCTTAACTAACTTTTTGCTCAAAAGCTTTCTGCTCATTTTCTTTTGCTAAAAGTCGTTTTGCTCATCTTTTTTTTGCTCATATTCGAGGTATTCAAGCTATCCTATTATCTAATTTTGAGCCGTTTGAGAAGATTTGTTCGATTATACATATATGTTCATACAAATGTATGCTCCTATGATTCTACTAGTTCTTCCATATGTATAGTATCTCGTTGCTGTTCGTCTTCCTTTTCTTTTTTTCGAAAACTTTTAAAAATATTTGTCACAACATCTGCTGCTACCATTTCACTGACATTTTTACTTAATAAACGTATAATGAAAAGACCATCGCCCATCAAGTAATTGAATGTGAATTTTTGAATAATACGTTGTTCAGGCTCGTCATTACCTGATGATATATCTGTTATACCATTGTTAATATTACATAAACGTTTAATATATTGCAATTTACCACGTTTATCGATAACCTGTTTTATAATAATCAAAAACTCAATTATGTTATCTAACATTACATAAACAAACCAAAACCATAATATAATGAATATTTTTTCATTGAGCATATTGACTGGTAATACACATTGTATAGTATATCTATGAACAATTCCAATTTCTCTTATTTTCAAATCACATAATGTTACTCGTGGAAAAAAGTACGAATCTTTCAATGGATTACCAGCTAAAATTGTTTCTAATATACTATAATCGATCATAACTTTTTTGTACCCAAGAAAAATATTGAGTAAGACAAATTGTACAATAGAATTTGTTAAATAAAACATTTTTGTTATAAAATATAATATCGTTAAGTAATTCCCATATTTTCCATGATTAGTGTAATTGAAATGACAATATCGTTGCAGTGTAGGTATCAAATGTTTTGAAGATTTATGGCCATCTTTAATAAAACTTTGTATATCCATGCCAGAACGAGTATTCATTGAACGCCATAACATCCGTGGAAGGTAAAAACAAAACGCAATTAATAACAATATAAAAGGAATCCATTGGTAATAACCTATATATGGACAATAGAATTCATGTCCTTTTTCGTATGAGCACAAAAATCAACGTATTTACCTAGAAGTGCTTGTTTACGTCCATCTTCTGTGAGTGGAATCGTGTTATTAATATGAATGTAATATGTACTGGAAATCCAACAATAACTTTCTATATAGGCTGTGTAACCATCTCGACGTAACTGAGCCGGTATCCAGCATCTGAAAGTTTGAAAACTATACTAGTCTTTTTGATCCTATGAAGAAAAAACAATACCTGCCTAATTCGGCTAAATACAAACGATGTTGTCGATGTTATGACAGCAAAACAAATAAGCAATCCAGCTGTAAAACGATGATTCAGACGATCATTGTGAAAATCATCATTGTCAGGTGCACGAATCGATTGTATAAATGGTAATTTAGTTGCAATATTAATGATTTTATTTGCCATATTGAAGATTTTTACTAAGAATTCCCTTTTACCTGGAGCATACGATTAGTTGTATAATGACGTTTTTCTGACATTGAAAAAATCGTTTTATTTACCATTTATTTTTCCTTTTTGAAAATTTTGAAGGCCTGATATAATCGTAATACGATAAGAAGGTATTAATGTATATAGACACAGATATAGTTAAAGAAGCATAACCCAATATAAGTATAAGACTTCAACTTCTTTCTTGTACCACCTCGAGATCTTTTTAATGAGGATGCTTTTTATGATGTCAGGTAAAAATTGGCATACAGCTGTATGTATACGCAAATGATTTATGAAATAAATGTGACTGATGATTAGAGGTCTGCGGGATTATTTCGGTCCCGGTTCCATCCCGGTCCCGCGGGACTTTTTACAGGACCGAGACTTAGAGATCCGCGGGACGGTCTCGATCCCGCAGGACTTTTAATGCGACCGCGATCAGGTTGTTTTGAAAATAGTCTAGTATGGAGCATAAAAATTTCTTAGTTTCTGTTGTTGATTGTATGTAGACACCAGTTCTGCGAGAAAGAGCTCATAGAAAATTCTAAAAGTCTTCAGTTAGTGCCACCCACGCATGCTGTTCCACGAACCACATTACAACCAGCTGACTTTCAAACTATCGGCGCTACTTTTAAAAAATATTTACGGGATCACGGGATCGGGACCGGGACCAAAATTAATTTTTTAACGACCAGTCTTCATGGGACCGGGACGGGACTGGAACCAAAAAAGTCTGGTCCCACAGGCCTCTACTGATGATACGTCTCGTGTTATACGGTTAGTCCGAAGAGAAGGCCGATCTGTAAAGAGCAGATGCTTGAAAAAAATCTATTATAACTATGATTCTTTACTCAGAATGCAACTCTGAGTCGTACGCTTCTCTATTGAAATCGTCAATATTTTCCTTGTTCTGCGAAAAGTGTTTTTTCTTTTTCTTTAACATTTGTTAGTAACTGTGTTAGTTTTTCATAATAACTTTGAATATTTTTTTGCATTTTAGACAAATATTTTGACAATTCTGTATTACTCGAACTTGTACTTTTCATTACTTTTAATGCTTTCCCTATTTGTTCATCGATGAGTTGATCACGCTGATCTCCAACGATCGGTTTCCATATTGGTAGAGTACTGTTTTCCTGTTCAATATGTCGAAACAGATTCATCGTCGAATTATTCAATATACTTTTGTTTATTGATAAACGTTTTGCAATATAATCATGGGTTTCAATATGTCTTTTCACGAGTGATCCATCTAGTACATGTTTTTCGATATCACGTAATAAGTTTTTGACATCAGCAAATGACAAATTAATTTCCATCGCAATATCACAACATTTACTGGCATTGTAATTGACAGTTAACGCCAATAAATGAATATCTTTCGCTAATGCTACACAGTCGTCTGATAATTTCTCTGAATCATATAAAACAGACGTCACATTCATCTAGCAAAGGAAATATTTTTGAAAAAAATTCTGTAGTTGTTAAGGACAGATCCACTAGAGCGCACTTACATAATCTAAACTCTTTCTACTATTAAACGTAGGTAACAACTCTTTTTGTTGACAAATGGCTCAGGAGCGTATTTTATTCTGTAGATTTTAACCTGCTGTTCGTACCGATCTTCTTTTGATGATAATTTATCAAGAGTAAAGTCCCCGAGTCTGATGCTCGGTTGTACTGCAATGCAAGTAATAATAAATTACAACTAAGTACGAAAAGAAAAATTTTAAAAAATGAAATAGTATATTTATAGTAACTTTTCTGTTTACAAACTCTGTATCTGTAGAATTAACAGTTAGAGGAATAAGTGAAGAAAAAAATACTTTCAAGTTCACTTTGAAAAACATTCCAGTCAACAGTGGCTGAGGCGAAACGAACATTGGATTGTAGTGTAGGAAATATAAATATCAACAAAGCAGGTAAATGATGAACATTAGTTTATCGAGAGGAGACGTCGAACGGCGAAAAGTAGTTCGCAATGTTTGAAGGAATAAACGCAAGGTCTAAAATGTTTTTATGCAATACATTATTAAGAATACATAAATGGGTGGGTGTATCATCATTCAGAAGAAAGATTGTTCCACTATCAATGTGAGACTCAATATGAATACCCTGAGGGTTGGGGTTTGAAAGACTCTAAGTGTCGCTTTTAGCATTGAGACCTCAGAAATACGACAGAGTGGATCGTTCGTCAGAGCATCAAGCAAATATCTTCCTTTCAGAGGCGGTAGATTTGAATCTGGATCTATATTCTGGCATGTCCAGCCCCAAGCTTGTAGTAAAGCTTGGAAGATACTAATCTCTAAGCAGTTCGCTCTAACTCTCAAAGGCGAGCAAGTTAGAGGAGGACCTGGATCTGGACTTATAACCAGGTCCTGAAAAATGGATTCCTGGCCTGTGACATAGGCCTACCGCTTTCAAACCTGGACCTAACCTGAACCTAGACTTGGACATGGACCCGGAACTGGAACCGAAGTGAACTTTCAGACTAATGCAAATAGCTCTAAATGGACCATTTTTGATACTAATATATCTTGGAAGAAGCGGGCTCAAAATGAAGATTGTAATCAAGAAAAGGGTACATTTAATGAACTAAACTGAACTTCCAGTAATGATCTTGGCTTTTGGTGTTACTACTTTATAGTAAAATTTCTCTTGACAAAATTAATTTTTCAAAAAATTTTTCCGAATCAATAAGTTTTCCCCCCGATGACCGTCAGAGAAACAGGCAGTTTCTTAAGCTATGTTTATTGGATTAGCAGTAATTGTTACTGGAATATCATGTATCCAAGCTGCGCACGAACCTAAATTATTTGCATTAGGCTTGAAAGTCCGCTTCGGACCTCAGGTTCAGATCTATTTCCAAGTCATACATTCAAATCCAGGTTCAGATTAGGTCACAGGTCGTACGTCATTTTTCATTTCCTGATCTAATCGAGACAGATCTCTGCTTCCTTTGATGTTCGACAGAATTACCTTTCTGTCTTACATCTTGGAAGGAACAATAGAAACTGTATAGCTTTATCAATACATAGCTTTCATTCATACACTCTCTTATCGGAAAAATGCCTGCGCTTGAAATTCCATAGAAAGATGTCGTTGCTCAACACACGAAAAGCAGCCATCTACAAGCTAGGTGAGCCTCTTTGATTTAATGGTTGTTTGCGATTTACACATACGACAATAGTCCAACATCTCTTAATAGCAAAGAGAAACTGATCTCCAATAATACACCGATTAATACGGTGTGCAACATAACAAATCAAAGCAAAGTTGCTTCGTCGTCTGAAAGGAGCTACTATGTTCAGAAGCGCCATCGATTTCGTCGCAAAACGGTTCTTTTCTTCACTAACGAAACAGAATGCTTTAAATACTCTTAAGCAGTTTAGTTTAGCGTCAGTTTGCGGCACAGATGGAGAAGAAAAATGAAGAGTTACTGTAGTCTTTTCTGGATACTAAATGGCATTTCTAATGACAAAGTGTACGCACCAGAACAAAATATACGTAAATTTCAAATACATTTTGTAGCACACTTGGCTAAAGCAACCAAAAATATTCAATATACACTTTGCTTCTTCTATAGAATACTGGTATATCAAGAGAATATGATATCTAGCTATTGACTGATGACTCATTTTTTGTTCGTTATAATATAAACAAAGGGAAGACAGACAGAAATCGTGATACTCCGCGAATTTTAACGAATTCCTTGTGATTCTCTCGCTCATAAGTTGCACGAATGCCAAAAAAAATCAATTCACGAATTCAGCTACCAGTGTTTCTGTTTAATGGAAAAAGAAATGAGAATTTGTCAACAACTGCATCGAAAGTTGTCTCAGTAAAACGTTCTACTCATCATACACTTTATAGACGTTGCGAAAAAAACAAAGTGGACACGTCCATTTTAGTTGAAGAAACAGTATATGTACACTTAACAAAAGATTTTCATTAAAAACTCTGGTACTAATTTCATTCCGCAAATGTCCAGTTTGTCTTGTCAGCAGTGATATGGAAAAGCATAACTTGTTCTTCTAGAGGATTTATTTCTTTTGTGTTTTTTGAATTTTCTAACTGTTCTATTTATAGCATGACAAAAACTTATTTAAGCGTAATAGATCCTGAAAATATTTTAAATTAATAAAAACATCTAGATACACACGTATCACATTGATTTCTTTCTAAAACCAAAACCATGGGTGATGGTGATCGTCATGTAAAGATGGAAATTGATTATTCAACTGTTGTTGATCAAAAACTGAAAGAATGTGACGAAATAATGAAGGCAAATCCGCTTTAGTAACTTGGTTTACTTTGTTTTTATGGCGTTAACCCGTTTTATTTCAGGACAACAAACTAAATGAAGCACTTGAAAGATTATTACCATTAGAAAAACTAACTCGTACTGTAAGTGTTGCAGATATATCTCTCTCGTTATCTAAATAAGTTTTTGATTTTGTATATTCAGGCAGCCGACGCAATATCAACCGGTATGAATTCATTTTGATCATTTATTCAAGTCTAAAATGTTTATGATGATATGATGTATATTAATTACACTGTTATTTCTTTATGTAGGTCGCATCTTAGTGGCTATAGTTAAATATTGTTATCAAGTTAAGGAATGGGAACTATTAAATGAACATATTGTAACATTGAGTAAGAGACGGAGTCAGTTAAAACAAGCGATAACAAAAATGGTACAAGAAGCATATACACTCCTCGATCAAACGCCAGATTTGGATACAAAATTAAAATTAATTGAAACATTGAGAACTGTGACAACGGGAAAGGTGAGCGATTGGTGAAAAAAATTTTCTGTTAAACTGAGAAATAGAAGAATACTATGTTGTATGTCTAGATTTTTGTTGAAAATGAACGTGCTCGTTTAACAAAGAAATTAGCTGATATTTATGAAAATCAAGGAAGAGTGAAAGAAGCTGCCGAGATTTTACAAGAATTACAAGTATGTTTTACTAGTTGAATTGGGTAAAAAATTAAATTATTTATTATGATATTTAGGTTGAAACTTATGGAACTATGGATCGCCGTGAAAAAATTGAATTTCTTCTCGAACAAATGCGTTTATGTTTAGCTAAACAAGATTATATTCGTACACAAATTATTAGTAAAAAGATCAATATTAAATCATTTGAGGATGAAGCATCACACGTGAGTGAACGTTTTGTTCATTCTTCTAAGTCAATTGTCACTATTAAGGGAGAAAATATCAATAGACCTTCTCGACTATCGGATCAGACATGACATATAAGACTGTACCTTTAGATATAAATTTCGAATTCTAGATTTGACCATGAATAGTTGAAGAAATAAGCACGAATGAAAATTCATTCGTTTAAATGAGATTGTTTTTGGCCCTTTTTAGGATTTAAAATTAAAATATTATGAGTTAATGATTGAAATGGATTTACATGATAATAATTATTTTAATGTCTGCCAACATTATAAACATTTTTATGATACACCACGTATACAAAAAGATAATGAAAAAATGAAACAGACACTGAAAAATGTTGTACTTTATTTATGTTTATCACCATATGACAATGAACAATCAGATTTTCTTCATCGTTTATATTTAGACAAAAATCTTGAACAAATACCAAAATATAGGTAACAAAAGGCTTTTTTTATGGTCTGATTTTGTAAAAAGATTTCATCTATACATTTTGTAGAGAATTACTACAAAGTTTTAAAACTCAAGAGTTAATACATTGGAAAGATATTTTAAAAAATTTTGAAAACGATTTAAAACAAGATACAAAAAATGATTCAGCAACAAATGTATTCACAAACACTGATGAGGGTAAAAAAAGATGGGAAGATTTTAAAGTTCGAGTTGTTGAACATGTAAGTCTACTGTAAAAAATTCTGAGAAAATGCAAATTCGTTATTTTTTTTATATGTTTCTAGAACATGCGTATAATGGCAAAATATTATACACGAGTAAGAACAAAAAAAATGGCCGAACTTTTGGATTTAACGAAGGAGGTAAAATAAAAAATAACGCAAATTCTCAAAAACGAAATATGAATTTGCAATAATTCATATATATTGTCAAGTTATATCGTCGTATATTTATCTATTGTATTTTTCAGGAAGCTGAACAATTTTTGTCAAATTTGGTATCAAATAAAACTGTTAATGCTAAAATCGATCGTTTACAAGGAATTGTCAATTTTAAACAAAAAAAATCACCACAAGAAATTTTAAATGAATGGTCAATTAATTTAAATTCATTAATGTTATGTTTGAATAAAACATGTCATTTGATTAATAAAGAAGAAACGGTACATGCTGTTCGAAATTAGTTTAGATCAATTTTATGGCCAAAGAGGATATAGGAGAATGTTTGTTATGTTTAATTAAAAGAGAAACTTTTGTTGTTGTTGCTGTGAAATAAAAGTTTTTTATTCGTTTTTTTTTCTCTTTCGTTTTGCTCTTTTTTTTTATATTCTATTTGATATTTGAAACAAAAACATAAATAAACCCGATTAAAGAAAAAGCTACTTTAACGACGATCCATATTTTACATTGATATAAAAATTTTGGTGTGCAGAAAAAGTAATGTAATCGGAAGATTTTATAAGGTTTAAGCTATTAATATTCATCAGGTTTTGTTACATAAACGGATAGGACAGAAACACTTTTATATACGTTAAATGACGACATCAATATTTCTTTTACAAATTGTCAGTTCCTACTTAATTTCTCAGTAATACTGAACCTTCACTAGGGATGTTTGGTTCTCGTTAAGAACCGGAACCGCGATTTTGTAGACGGTTCCATTTTTTTAATCATAGATACTACAGTTTTATTTCGAGAAAGCTATATTTATCGTTCATAAGATATACTTGTGGGCAACTTCTTTTACATGGGATCTTCTGTACCTGGCAAACCCATCGACTCTTCTTACGAAAGAGATAAAGCCAATATTATTATGTCGTTATACTGGCCATAACAGCACGGAAAAAGTTATCCTTTCTCGAGATTTCGTTTCGTTCTTAAGATATTGCATTTTTCGTACATCTATCGGATTTCATCTAAAATGATCCCCTAAAAAGTCCTGCAAAGATCTTGAAAATATTTGTGTTAAATTCTACTATAGAAGAAAAATGTCCTTGTATCCATAATCTTTTTGTCTTGCTTTTCTTTTAACAAAATGAGAACACACTATTGAGAAAGCTGCAAAAAGATATATTTGCCTGGCATTATTTAAAAGAATCCCTTCGTTTACTATAAAATGAATTTTATTTTGTTGAATTGTTACTGCCTGAAAAATTCTTTTCCGGTTCTAAGCTGAGAATCGAGAACCTTGTAGTAGTTATCTTGAAAATTGTAGCTTGTCTAAATAAACGGAAACAGAAAATAAAATTTGATTTTGTAATTGCTCATATTCATAACGTTTTTTCTCTCCAACGGATAAGTGAGAAGAAAAGGCAGCACAAAAATATGTTTCCCGTAGAAGCGTTTCGTAAAAGAAAATACATAACTCGCACAGTGGGCATTTTTCTATAGAGCAGGCGGACATATGCTGTAGGAGTGGTATGAAAGCCTATAAACACGTTCTTCTATAGGTTTTCGAATATGCTCTTTCTAATGATGAGATTTTCAGTACTCAA